GCTTAGAGTGCTTGCTCCGGTACCCCAGTGTTGCCGGATACCGTGCCGAAATTATGCCAGATTCAAGACTGTTTCAACCTTCGTATTGGCGTCTGGATCTTCTGTTTTTATTTTTAATGTATGAGACATTTTTGCGCTTAGTTCATGAGTTGAGCCGAAAATGAAGCGGTGGTCAGCTGTTATTGATCGATGTGAACATACGCAGATATGTTATGCGGACATCCCTGAATTAACAGGATGGCGCTTACCATGGTTGCTTCTCGAAGGCGTTCTCTCCTCAGGCCTATTCGAGATGGTTCGAGGAACTACAGATGAGCCTAACGTTCTGCGTCAATGGCTCATGAAGCGCGAAACAGGCCTCACGTTGGTCAAACGTTACACGTCATCGTGACATCATCGTGACATCGTGAAAGGGTTGCGAGGGTTGCCTCGCTTCTCCCTTCTTTGTCTCGAAAACGTTTCGGTTTACGAAAAATTCGTAAATGATGTCGCTGCGGATTTTTTTTTACAATTCTATGGGAATAATCTTACTGGCATCTTAAGATTTGCGGTACAGAGTCTGCCCGAGCCACCGGTATCATTTTGTTTGCCTTGCGACCATATTTAAGTTTATCTCCGTTTCCTTCGGATGCCGTCCTTCTCCCCCCTACATCTCAACGATCACACGACGAAAAATCACATTCTGACAAGATTTGTCGTCTAGATTCCACCCTAATCGGCGGTATAAATTCTGAAACAGTGCACCTTCATTCTAGCGTAATACTCCCCCCAAATAGGATAATCCTCGATCTCACTTCTCGCTGGAGGTCAGGCGACGTTCCGTCTCTCTCAAGCATCTCCAAAATGGCTCGTCTCGTGAAACATCCTTTTCAGCCAAGATTTGGAGCCAGATTTCAGCCTGGATTCGGAATCCATTCTGGTCTGCGGTATGCTTTTCTTTGCTATTTTTTCCTATCTCCTTTGTGTGCATTATGCATATGTTAGCACGGCCGGCCTTGGGCATGTGCCCCCGCACAGGGCGCAAATTGACCAGGCGCAATAAAACGTACCTGAATAAATAAATAAATATAATGGATGCCCCCCTCCATCTTACTTCAGAAAGTGAAAATGCCTTACGTCTTCGGACGCTACTGATTGACCTTTCTCCCTTCTGATGGCGGGTGGGGGGGGGGGGGGGGGGGGGGGGCGGGACNGGGGGGGGGGGGGGGGGGGGGGGGGGGGGGGGGGGGGGGGCATGATCAGGTGCTGATTCCATTCCACGATCGAATTCATTTGCTCTTAGGCTCATCCTTCTTTCCGATTCAGGAGACACATGGCCTTGTCCATCCGAACATAATATTGCAAAAGCTGCTCTTGGCGTAGGAATTCAATAATTTCCAGGATGTTTCTCCCATGCCTCTTCGCTCCGAATACGGGCGATCGAATGTGATGAAATATGATGAGAAAGATCCTCCCGGATGAGGACATTTAAATGTTTAGTCGTTTTAAATATGGTTGTCTTTCTTTCCCTCGTAGCTTACCAAATTCAAACCGGGAAACTAAAAGACATTTTGTTCTTTTATTATTCTGAATTTCTTCCTTCATCGCTACTGTTATTAGTTTCAAATTCCAATATCGCGCAAAGGAAGACGGTGCCGAGTTGCTGGGGGAATCGAATCTCCTAATGAGGGTATGATATTCCTTCTCGAGAATATGAACGTGCTGCTCTGAAACGCATGCCGCAGACCAGAGCGGACTCCGAGCTCCAAATCTCGTCTGAAAAGGATGCTTCACGAGACAAGCCATTTTTGGAGATGCGCGTGCGAGACGGAACGCTGCCTGACCTCCCGGGAGAGGTGAGATCGAGGATGGTCCTCTTTGGGGGAGCATTACGCTATAACGAAGGCGCACTGCTTCAAAATGTATACCATCGGTTAGGGTGGAATCCAGACTACAAATCTTGCCAGAATGTCATTTTTCGTCAAGCATGTCGTTGAGATTAAAGGGGGGGGGGGGGAAGTAAGGAAACGGAGATGCATGATAGCGGCATCATCCTTCGCGTGTGTTTATCTCACTTAAAATTTGGTCAAAAGGCAAACAAAATGATACCAGTGGCTAGGGCAGACTCTGTACCACAAATCTTGTTGGGGCCGAATTTTTCGTAAACCGAAACGTTTTCGAGACAAAAGGAGGGAGAAGCGAGGCAACCCTCCGCGGTCCATGGCTGAGCTCGTGGAATTGTTTCCCGAACTCAACGGCTCCCCCCGTCCCCAGCCGATCGGCGCACAGCTGCGCAGAACCGATTCGCCTCGTGAATAGGCCTGCAATTGGCCTCGTCAGTCAATTTTCACATTGAAAATTGATTTTCCCGTTACTGCATAATGCAATTCAATAAGACATTAAAAAAAAAACAATTCAAATCAAATCAAATACTACAGGAAAAGCTGAATATTAGAATGAATTTTCTTCTAAAATAAAATAGTGAATCAAAGGCGTAGAAGTGCCAGTAAGATGATTCCCATAGAACTGTAAAAAAAAAAAGTCGTCCGCAGCTACATCATTTCGGCTTCAAATGGCGTTTAGAAGAAGGCGGAAGAAGGCGGAAGAAGGCGGAAGAAGGCGGAAGTTAAGAATTGTGGAAAGTGAAAGGAATTTGATTTTGGGAGGTCCAAGCGCCACAATGAGGTCGCATCCAGGAAGCGTGGTGCATCCAGGAAGCGCGGAGGGGACGCATGGAAGCGGATTCCGAGGGGGAATGTCTTCTAGGCGAGTCCGGACCGTTTCTTCTTGCGGTCGGTCTGAGTTGGTCTGTGTCGGTCTGTGTCGGTCTGTGTCGACCCCTGAGGCCCCTGAGGGAAGCGAAGCCATGCCTTCCTTCGGTTCCCTTTCCGAGTGATGCTGAAAAATCTCACCGGCGAATCGCATTTTTGCGGCGATCGAATCTTGTCAGCTCTGATGCCGAAATTTCAATTTGGCAAAATGGATTTGCAATTGCCATTCTCGATTCTCCGCAATCGTCTCATGCATTCCACAGCAACGAGTCGTCTCTCAGGAGTGGCAACTAACAACGGCATCAAAACATTTAAATCGCGTTCAGTCGGGACGGTCCAAGTGTGAATATCTCTAAATATACCAGATGGGTTGTCGAAATTCCCTTATTCCAACTAAAGGTCAAACTTCACCCTTTATTTTTCTCGAATTTCACTTTAAAGTCAGAGAAATTTAGAATTTAGTCCACAAAAGTCATTTGCTATTTACTATTTCTCATTTACATATTTCCAAGCATCCCGACTGATACCAAATGAATTAAAAATAATTGCCTCTTTCCATCGTCGCTCGAGAGGAATTTGATTTACCATTCCTTATTGTACCATGTATCACTTAACCCTTTCAATTCACCGCTGATTAAAATTCGAGGCGATCGAGCTGCACGGAGAAGCTCCGGTGCCAGTCCCGGACATCCCAGATTGACTCATTTCTGGCACGTGCCGAAAGCAAGAAGAAAAATCGAGGGAAAACGAGGGAAGAATCCTGGGTATGAACCCAAGATTAAAGTTACTGCTAAGTCGCTGATGCCACCGGGTCCTGCATGCATACCATGCATCTTACAATCTTCTACTATGCTATCAGATCTCTCAGCTCTCAATAATATTGTCACGGTTGTGGAATAGAAGCATGGGATCCCGCAACGGGTGATTGTTCCCCAATATTCACAGCCTCCACCACTAGATGTCGCTAGTGAGTTCCCTGCATCCCCTATACGAGATGTATAGGGAATTAAATTAAAAGTGCTTGTCCCGAAGTGAAGATTTCATAGAGTTATCTTTAGAACCCTAAGTCATGAAATGGTAAAGTAGTGCATGCCTCCCAACCCGTACACACGGAAGACTCACAGGTCAGAGCGAACGGTCGCCTCACGGCCGTTCGCAAGCCGGTCTCAGCAATAACACCCGGAAAGCGCTGAAGCAATAAGTTGGGGAGGAAGGTACAGAATTGTAAGAATGTAACACAGCTGAGAAGGGCTTTAGGGGCCCGGTCACCACGCGTAGAGATCCGATTGGCTCTTCCTTGGGCTGAAGCATAGGCCACTCTGTGCTCCATTGTGCGAGAGGTAGGGGCTTGGTGCACACTCATTAGCACCTGCCGCATCGGCCCGATGTGCGGCGATGGAGGGTCTATGGCCGGAGCTGCATCGAAGCTGTCATCACCTTCCTCGGGCCCGTGAAAACGACGTTCGTTGCACCTTGCCCAATATTGCCAATATCGGCTTTCCAATATTGCCTTTCCATCATCGAACCAAAATATCGGACCAATGCGATGATCCAATACGTTGCACTGAGAAGTTTTTAGGGAAAATGTTGAAGTTCTTCAGGCCACTAAAGGTAAGCAAGCGTCTCATTTCTTGCAATACACAAAAGGGCACTTCCCTCTATCCATTGAATCATCGCCCACAGGAGTGTTTAGTACCTACCCAAAACGCCTCACCGAATCCTACAGGTCAGGAGTCCAATAGGACCCTATAGGGACCCCATAGGTTTTTCGTATTTCAAAAACTTAATGAAAAGCCTATAAGTTTCCAATAAGAAATATCTATAGGTTTCCTACAGGACTGTTTCGTAAGAGAGGCGACTGGTTCAATAGCAAATTTGTACCTGAGCTGGCACCCTAGGTTTTTCCAGCTTTGGGAAACTGTTCCAGTGAACCTATACCGCCTCCCTGTGAGGTATTGAATCCATCAATGCCTAAATTTTGCTTTCACGTGGAAATGAAAAAGGACGCAAATGTAGGAAATGAACTCATCAAGTGACAGTACTTGAAAGGATTTAACTACAAAAAGGAAAGGATTCAGCGTGCTGAGGTAACCCCAAGGGACATTCAAATAATGGACATTTACGCTATGTCCTCTCCCAGTGAAGCGAAAATACGAAGGAATACATGAAAGGAAGAAATATATTTGAAGCTTCAGAGTGAAAGCATGAGTACACGCAATCGAGAAATTTTCGGCAGCCTGGAAGGATGTCTCAAGGCGCCGGGCACCATTGGGCGTCTTGGGTGTTGTTCTTGATGAAGTTGTCCACGTAATCTGCAATGGAAAGAGATTCGGGAGAATGAGCCACTGCCAAGAAGAAACGGGTATTGGATTGTCCTTTGCAGACACCACCTGCTGCCACGGTGGCGGTGATCCCTGTGCTCGGGAGACACTCCCCATTATCGTACGAGCTGATGCCGACTTCCAGGAAGTATCCGGATGGAGTCTGGTACAGCAACGGGCTTCCGAAGTCACCCTGAAAAATAATTTGATTGGCACCCTCGGGAATTACATGAAATTCTCACATCTTCCTTTTTGCTTACTTTGCAGGAGTTCTCATCATCAGGCTGAACACAGATGGTGTTGTTCGTGGCTTGGACTGGGTAAGAGACCTTGCAAGTCGCATGACCGACAACCTTCATCGTAGCCTCCTTCAGCACATTCTCGGGAATCGCATCTAAAACATGAGTCAGGTGGTCCTGGTGCTAGAAGCTGATTAACACTTCGAAGTCGACTTACAGGGGACACCGGTGCTACTCCAACCGACGACAGTGATCGTGTGTCCCGTGGTGGGGATGTCAGTGGAAGAGAGACATACAGGACGGATGTGTGGGAAGGCGTTGAAGTTCACCGGAATCTTGAGCTTCAGAAGGGCGATGTCGTTATTGCGGTTACTGGAGTTATACTGAGGATGAGCGATGGCTGAGGCTTGAATCTGAATGGAATGACTGTCGGACAACGTCGACCTGTTGAAGTCTCCTAGAGTCACGAAGTAATTTTTGAAGCTATTCGGAAGGAACAAATTTCCAAAATAAAGTAGACGAATCTAGGCAGGAATTCCCTGGGCATAGCAGAACGAAGCGAACCTCGGGTCGATGCAGCTTGCAGCCGTGAGGACATACCGGTCGTTGATGAGAGATCCCCCGCATTTGAAGGAGCGCGGAGTGACGGACGTTCCGATCCATGCCATCCAGGGATATTTCCTCTGACTTAGAACACCAGATCCTCCAGTGACTCGGTCCGAGACGGATTGCGATTGTCCTTTTGCGAGATTCAAGGCTCCATTTTCGCTTTGAGAGATTCCGCAACCTTGCAACCAATCACGCTGTCTTACGACCAAACATTTTATGCGTAATGATCTATGAACCCAGACGTCCGAACTTACGGCATGGAGGTGAAGGTGAAGAAGCTGTTTCTGAAAAAGTAATGTATGATTTGAAAACCATGACACTTCCTTGTTGAATATTGTCCATGCATCAGCTATGACCCTAAACCCGAAATTTGCATGGATGTATGGTACATAATCATTCTGAGGTAGAAAGTTTGGATGCAATGAATTCATAAGTGTTGAAAATGTTAAATTAGCGCAATTAACACGTCAGACCATTTGCATAATAAAAGAATCAAATTTGCACCCAAATCTATCCTCTCCAGTTCGTAGCGACAATACTTTCCAGCTCGTCTCCCACATTTCCCGACTTCGTCTCTGGAGGAGCGGAGTCATCGATGCTCGAGATTTGGTCTCGCTTTTTCCAACTATTTCTTCTGAGTGCAATCGGCCTTCAACTTACGAATCTCTCAGTAGAGTCGATATAGAACTGACATGGCACGATTACAATGCATTTCGTCAAAGAAATAAAAAAAATTCACAACGCAAGTTAAATGGATCGTATCCCGAAATCTGTCCAAATCTTCTTGCACACGCGAAAGAAAGGACTCTCGAAAGGAAACGAGTGCCGAGAAATATAATAAAATCAGGTTCCAGATTTATCTTTAAATTTATTTAAAGGTCATCGACTGGAAAGGAATGCATAGCTGTAGATTGTTCAGACCTTGTTAATTTGGATTCATTCGCGATTTGATATTTATTTTGCTGTATTTTTTCACCCGCATTTTCGGCTTTAGGAGGACGGTTTTGCCGTCCATCGAATATACATACGGCTGGAAGCGACTGGGTTGGCGTTGCCGCAGTTGACGGTGCAATTGAAACCCTGTTCGACGGCATGGTGATTGATGAAGTCCACTTTGAGGTTCCTCCCCGCGTTTACCGGGCTCTGAAGCTCTTTCGAGGACCCACACAACCTACAACGAAGTGCCGAATACGTCAAATTCGCGTAACGGTACCGACGGTAACTCGATCTGAAATCTCTGGAAATGCTGAAACCCATATGGATAAGTGATTTGGCAAGACTCAATAAAGTCTCAAGACATACATTTTACTGCTCGATCTTTCGTCCCACCGACGAAGGAATCCAGGAGAATGGTGGCACAAGCAGCGTTACCAATTTCTGTTTGACATGGAGATGGGAGTGGTTTGGGCAATGAAGTGTTCTTTTCCTTATTTATTTTTCCCCAGTCTCAATAGATGAAGGCACAGGAAGAGGGCCATTTCAATTGACTTTCCAAATTATCTCCCAATGAATTGCACAAGATGCCGTGAACTCTTTCGAGAAAGAGGTTAGTCTCCCCTCCTGGTCTATGGAAGTTTCACCTTCAATGAATGAACTCGTACAACTGCAATTTGAAAGGTCGGCACAGACGTTTTAGCATGGCAAGGGAACTTGAGAAGACGTGTGAACACAGATTTAACGTCCAGAAATCGGCCATCTTCCCAAAAAAGGTGGGGAGAGATGAAATATCGAAGGACTCTCAGATCAAGATCGTGTGTGACTTATGGAACTCGTGACTTAATATCCTACTTGACGACCATTGCTCACAATGAGCAACTCCGAATGTAAAGAACGGTTAAGAGCTTCATTGATCCCCCTTCGCTCTCACCCTCTATTTTCTGATATGTAAAGACTATGTTCTCAGAATCTCGGTTACTGTAATTCTCTTACAGGCATCTTTAGCATTCGGCATTTTGCGCTTCTTCATTTTAACTCTCAGGCATTTCAGGCACTTTACATTCGTGTAATTATGGCATTCGGTCAACTAGGATTCAGCATTTCGTCGTGCGTCCCACACCCTGAGAATGCCTGGACGTATCCAAGGAAGTCTCGACGCAAAAATTGTGAGCTGCGGCCACCATACCTTTTCCCGTTGTAGGTGAAGGCGGACCGCCGACAGAGGAGAGTGGCAGGAAGCTGGAAGGTGTAGCACTGGAGGGTCATGTCCACCGGGCACTAGACCAGAGACAAATCATCGCATGATCAACGACGCTGGAAACGGTTGAAACTCGACGAAAATTCGCTTCCTGTTTGAAAAGCATTTGAAAGTCGCTCGGACGGGTGCGAATTTGGGGCCAATGCAAAACCGATCTCTATGCTTCCTGAAGCAAGAAACCAAGAATGAACGAAAATCCTCAGGAGAGCAAGAATTCGCAATGTTTCCAAACCGAAGAACGATGAGTTCTTCAAATCCACCTTCAAGTCAAAAGCGAAAGCGAGGAAGAATCACATTTTTACGATTTCGGTATCGAAATGCCGCGTGATCGAAGCGTCTCATCGTTTCCCCGTCCAAATCCGAGAGGACCGGAGACGCGTCAGCAAGGCCAAGAGGCCCCAAGGTCATAAATCCTTTTTTTTCTGGTTGACTGTCCCTTAAGGAAATTTCCTATAGGAAACCTACGGACTTTCCTATAGGTTTTTGAAACACGAAGAACCTATAGGAACCAAAAAGGGTCTTATAGGACTCCTGACCTTTAGGATTCGGGGAGGATTTTTGGGGTTTCGAAACCCAAGAATTGCGGCGGAAAAGGCGATCGGGGTCAATACTGCCGCAGCTTTTTGGTGTAAATCAATTAGGGGTTTTCCAATAGAAGGGTACTCGCATTACTAATATCAATAATGCCCTGGTCTGCATAATTTATTTTCGACCTAAGGAAACAGAAAGCAGAACCTGCGAGCATGTCTCTTTACTGAAACTCCATTCGGACAAATTCTACCTCTTCTTTATTTTTTTATTTTATTTTACTTTTTTTTTTAAAAAATAAAAATAGGAGCTAAATCATAGCTTCAGTCATAGCTTCCAGCAGAGTAGATGCAAAAACGGAGACTTTGCTCTCATCACTGCATCTCGCCGTCGGATTTAAGGGGTCTACTATTGCTGTTTCTAGGGTTGCCAACCCTTTTAAATAGCTTCCAAAAATTAGCTGGATCCTCTTCGCTATTTAATTGCTCGCAAATATCACACCAGTACTGATCGCTCTCCATCTTAATTAGGGCTTTAAACTCATGATTAAGCTAATTGATTAATGGCTTCAGGGTGGGGTCTTTAATGCGATAAATAAACGACGGAGTTTCCTCCGCTCTTTAATTTTATTGAGGGTTTATACCGAGGGATTGTAAGGCTTACGGGAGGGAGTCGTCTTGGGGACGGCAATATCCTGGGCGATTTGAATCGTTTCAGTGATGAGAGATTCCTCGAGTTGGGGGACGGTCTCTAAAGGGAGAGAATGAGGGAGGAGGGTCTCTAACACGTCCTGGAAACTATGGCAGCCGGCGTTACGAAAATCAAAGCGAGGGAGGCTCATGGGGGAGGTTCATGGGAGAAGTTGCTGTTAATGAGGATGGGCACGTGATCGCTCCCTACGTCTTCTCCTATAGAGAAGCTATGGGGAAAAGGGAGGAACTGTGCATTGCCCAGTGCTAGGTCAATTCTGTACGAATTTCCTAATCCTGGACAGTGGTGGGTGGGGCTGTCGTCATTTAAAATAGAGAAGCTGCTGGAGGCTATGAAGTCGCTGAGAATGCGACCTGCTGCGTTGGGTTCATCGCGAAAGGACAGATCAGGAGAATGAGCGTTTAAGTCGCCGAGAAGAAGCGAAGGACCGCTTATTCCATTAATGAAGTCAAGGTCAGAATGAGAAGGAGGAGAGTTAGGAGGAAAGTAGGCGTGGAAGAGAGTGAGAGTTGTTATGGGAAAACGAATTTTTACACCGATTATCTCGGACTCATGATGCCAAGTGTGATTAATTAATTCTGAGTCGAGCTTGCTGAGAATGTACACTGCTGAACCCCCCTGGAGCGGTCTATTTTGAAAGCTGGGTTTGTAACAGTAATAATTCCTGATAGCAGGTGTCTTTTTATTTTTAAGTTCGCTGAAGCATATAATAACGGGCTTAACTTGCTCAATGTAATGAGTAGGCGTGGAAGAGAGTGAGAGTTGTTATGGGAAAACGAATTTTTACACCGATTATCTCGGACTCATGATGCCAAGTGTGATTAATTAATTCTGAGTCGAGGTTGCTGAGAATGTACACTGCTGAACCCCCCTGGAGCGGTCTATTTTGAAAGCTGGGTTTGTAACAGTAATAATTCCTGATAGAAGGTGCCTTTTTACTTTTAAGTTCGCTGAAGCAAATAATAACGGGCTTAACTTGCTCAATGTAATGCAAAATTTCAGGGCGCTTGCCTTGGAAGGAATTACAATTTAAGTGAAGAAAGGAGACAAGATTAGACGTCATTAGTTAGTAGAGGAGGGGAGGACGGTAGGGGAGGGGGCTGGAAGCGAAAGAGAGAATCCGTATGCGTGCACCACGAAACAAGGTCCTGCTCGGGTAGTCATGCCAGCTCGGCTCCACCTCCCTAGGTGGTGTACACTATTCCCTCGCGCTTAACTTCTAAACAACTTATTTCAGGATACCGGAGGAAACATTCCTGACTCCCGACATAAGGGTGGTACATGGGGACCCATCCTTCCCTCCACACATCAGATATTAGACATAATAAGTCACCGGTTTAGGTCGTGGTAAATAACGCGGCGCCAGAGGCGCCATCTCATGTCAATCCAAAGAAATACACATGTTCATGGGTCTGGGTTACAAGAAAACACCGTGCAACTATATATACGATTGGCAAACATTATGTAAACATCGTTACAGTATTAAGTTAAATGTTAGCTGAACCAATGGCTTGATTTGCATGCTGATTGGATGTGGAATGCCCTCATCCATTTGAGTCTCTAGGTTGAGCAGATGTTTATGAATTGGGTTTTTGCACCAAATGCTTTTGACACTTCTGCTGCATGCTTCTCAAGAGACTCCTATTGTTATTCTCTCAGTCCAAGGTTGGCATTTGGGTTGATAGACATTATCATGGTGGAATGACTTTGTCCCAAAATTTGTGAGAAGAGGCTCTGCATTCTTCATCCTAATCAGGGGATTAAAACAAGCAGGGACCCCTGGGTGCCTGCTTGGCTTATGGTTGTATTTTATTGGAATGGCCTGTCCTGAAAAATATATAATTGTAGGAAAATTCAAGATACTAGGAGCCCAAGGGAACTTAGTCTGATACTTACCTCTTGTTACCAAGGCTATGAAAGGTATTCACTGACTCCCAGAGTGAATCAGTCTATTGTTCTATAGCATGAGTTTTATTTTGGTCTGTGGTTCTAAAACTCATTCATATTCTAGGCATGAAATGCATGTGGTTATTGTCTTTATTTGGGCTTGTGTGATTCATTTCGCTGCTGTTTCCTAAGATGCACCCTCTCATTTTTTGTCATGACCAATTTTCCTTCTTTTTTCTGTTTGATGGGAACAGATCTATTGATGGGAATTGTTTCTGGAAACTATAATTTTGAAATGTCACCAGCAGGAAACAGTAAGAGAATCCCAGGACCTTCCAGGCAAGTGGGGAAAAGACAACAACAGAGATATGCGGTAGCATTTGTGGCTGCTTTCATGCAAGCTGATGGAATGCACCAGTCCCACAATTCAGTATATGAGATTAATGAGCAGATCTCCCACGATGACAAAGAGAATTCTGAACTTTTAGATGTGACACAGGAACTTGTTGGTGTAGATGGTTGTGGACATGGGAGTCATTCTGTAGAGACTTCAGACTTGGATGGTGGACTCTTGTCAGATTGGGAGAATGGCCAGTCCTCAAGTGAAGGAAGAATTTCTGTAGGAATTGAATCTGAGCAGCTACATATTCTGTCTCTAAGAGCCAGATTGCATGAATGGGCTACAATATCACAATATCACCTACAATGTCTACAATATCTACAATATCACCTACAATATCACACTTCCACAGCTTCAAGGTCTTCTTCATGTTTTAAAGGAAGATCATCCAGAACTTCCTAAATACCCCCGAGCTGTTTATAGTTCGGTCAGTAATGTTTCGTGCCTGGTAATGTCTGATGGTGGTCAGTATTATCACTTTGGTTTCAAACAAGCTCTTTCTAAAAGGCTTGCAGACTCTGACATCGTCTCAGTTGCTCTGACCATCAATATTGATGGCATTCCTCTGTTCGAGTCCAGCCAACAACAGTTCTGGCCCATTTTGTGCCTCATCAGGAATGCCAAAGACAAAACACCTTTTCCAGTTGGTGTGTACTGTGGTAAAAAGAAACCTGCAGACTGTGGAGAATTCCTGAGACACTTAATTAAATATGTAAAATTTCTGAGCATGAATGGCATCAAAACTACTGCAGGTTTAGTCTCTCTTTTAGTAACTGACTCACAAACTGTTTGTTTGTGATGCCCCAGCCAGAGCTTTCATTAAACAGATAAAGGGACATACAGGGTATCATGGATGTGACAGTTGTGTTCAATCAGGGGAATGGCACGGACGAGTTGTTTTCCCATGTACTAGTAGTGCTCCTCGTACAGACATCAATTTCAGAACTCAGGAGTATCCTAGGCATCATAATGGTGTGTCCCCTCTGTCAGAGTTGAATATTGACATGATTGAATAATTTCCCCATGATTATATGCACTTGCCTTGCTTAGGAGTCATGCGAAAGCTTTGTCTTCTGTGGAAATCTATCCCACTGACCTGTCGAGTCAGTGCTGCTGCTCAACTTCTTTTATCTGATGCACTGGTGCTTCTTTGTAGATACATACCCATAGAATTTTGTAGAAAGCCAAGGTCCTTCTCTGAACTTGATAGATGGAAAGCCACTGAGTTCAGCCAGTTGCTCTTATATACTGGACCAATTGTCCTGAAGGATGCCTTAAATGAACATCAGTTCAAGCACTTCCTTTTGTTTCATGTGACAATGAGAATCTTGACTTCTTCAAGTCTTGCATATGACTGTAGTCACCTTCAATATGCAAGACACCTTTCAGAGATGTTTATAAATTCAAGTTCTCAACTCTATGGTCAAGAAAGTGTGACATACAACATGCATAGCCTCATTCACATCTGTGATGATATGAGAAGGCATGGCCCAGTTGATTCTTTCTCTTCTTTCCCATTTGAGAACTATCTTCAACACATGAAGAAGCTTGTACGATCAGGAAAGGCACCACTGAAACAAGTGGTCAAACGGCTCTTAGAACTGGAGGAATGTAGTTCAGATAAATTGCCACTGCTTGCAAAAAATACATGTACACACATTGCAGATGTACCTTCTCTAGGTCCAATTTCATCCCTCTGGATCAAAGATCAAGTGAAAGTGTCATTTGGAAATAATTGCATTTTGACCAATCAACTTGAAGTTGTCCTGGTTGAGAATTTTGTTAGGGTTGATGATGGTCAGTTAGCCATTGTTGGCAGACCTTCTTGAACAAAGATAACCTTTATCAATACCCATGTCCTTCCTCTTACTTGAATATTTTCAAATGTAAGAGACCAGGATGGCAGAAGACTTGGCTAGAGCATGAGTTGCTACAGAAGTGTGTCCTCCTTCCCCATCATGGATGGCATGCTTGCTTCCCAATACTTCATTCATCATGAGGCAATGGAGACTCAACTTAAGAAAACTATCCTGATTGACTGATTTACCAGCCCCTCAGCCTTAATATTGAAGCATTCATCTTCTATATAACTATACCTTCATCTGCTCTGAACTTCCTTGCCTCATCTCTGCAGTTATTGGAACCTATGTTTGTGTAGGAATGTGGGCTGTTGTGGTGTTTGATGAGGAAGAAGCAACTGCCGCTGTCCCCATTACTTGGGTGTCTGAGGGAAAGTGTTGTTGGCCGGGAGCAAAAAATAGATCTAGGCTGATTCAGCAGTGTGTGATGCCTGCTCCTTCATGGCCCCAGTTTCCCTGCAGAGTGCTTCAAATCTCAGGTGAGTAGACCCATTTAAATGAAACAATTGGATGTCCTGCAATTTTCCAGCAATAATATTGAGTTTTTCACTGTTATCTTGATTGATGCAGGTGATTATGAAAAAGCAAGAAAGTTAGCTTGGAAAGCTGAGAAGAGTTCTGATCTGGAGCAGCCCTCTGACTTGGAGTTGAATGATGGAGAGACACGAAAATCCACTCGAATCAAGAAGACCCCGGTTTTCTCAGATAATGAAGATGATGACGAATCTTGGCAAAGTTTTGAAGTGCCACCATCACCTTGGAGAAAGCATTCCCTTGAGTCACCTCTAGTTTCATCTTCTGCTTCTCATCAGCTGCCTCCTCCACCCCCACATCCATTTGATGCAACCTCTAAGCACTTGCAGCAGGGCTCTTCAGGCCTTCACCATTCCTTTTCCCAGTCGCACATCAGTTCTGAGCAACATCAGTCATCTTCCCTCCTTTTACATCTCCTGTGCTTCACCAGCAAGATTCCCTGCTGTTCAAGTCTCCTGCATCTTATGATGATGGTATTAATTTCAATTTTTCCATTTTCAGCCATGATTTTCTGATTTCATTCTGTTAATTGTTAGTTCTCATGCTACAAAGAAGAGATATTTTGATTCCATTATAAAAGTTTATCCTCAGAGTTTGCATTTATATCCAGAAGTTCTGCTCAAGTGAGCAGGATGAGGTTTAAGACTGACAGGGTTATATTTTCTCTCCTCTCCTTTCCTGTTCATTGTGTGCATCAACAAGATTCATTGTTGCAGCCTGTACCTAGAGTTGTTCAGTGTCATTGACATTGAGGTACAGATGCATCTCTTTCCTCCTGGTGCTCTTTTTTGCCAAGTTTGGATAGGAACTTCAGAGCACATTGGATTGGTTCAATTCTGAATGCACAGGAGCTGGAATGGGCTCCAGACTCTGGTTATGGGACCATTGATAATTCCTGTGCATTGCTTGCTGCAAATAATGCAGGCTGACATGGGGAGAAATTAAATGATCAAACTTGAGTTCTCCAATGACAGGTGCTGTGAAAATCACACATCTATGTTTTCTGCAGTTTCACTGGGATTTTTTCAGTGGTTACAAAACTTCCCAAGATTTTCAAAACTTTTTAAATTCCTCACTCCTACTCATTCACTTGTGGTCAAAAGTAATAGAATGATAAGTAAGAAATGAAGTGGGTATGAGAAAGATATTAAGAAGAATTATGGCATCCTCTAGGTGTCTTGGGTCAGAAATATTTCTGAATTTATGGTTTTCTAGTCCAACAGTTTCAACATGTCTGCTACATGCTTCCTGAGGGACTTCCTAAAAAGAGTATTTCAGTCCAAGATGACCAGCAAGAGACCAGTCAGCAGCTCTTGTACAATTTGGAACGACTTTGTAAGAAAGTGTTTTGACAGGAGAGGCCCAGCACTCCACTTGCTGAGCTAGCATTAATTGTATAGGCCTGTTTGAACCACAACTACAAGTGGGAATGGTGGGATGAGTAAATGAATGGAGTGATTGAATGAAATTTCAGTTGTGGTCATTCCATTTACAACTTGGTATGATCATTATAAGAATAATTCGGAGTATCTATTTGGGTCCTCTTTTGTTTCTCTTCATTTTTTTTAGGAGAAAGATGCAAAAAGGATGGGTGGCCCTTGAGTATCCCTTCTGTGACTGGACTGTCTCAAGAAGGTTTGTCTACTGTTTGTTATCTATAATTCAGCTACAGAGATGGTTTAATGCAGTGTGATTAATAAATCACGGATCTGATTTATTTCTGTCCCCTCGTTCCAGTGGAAAGTGTTTCCGCACCCTTCACAATCGTGGAGAACATGTATCTGGATTGAGCCGAGAGGTCAAGAAGCTCCGGAAGACTCTTGGGAGCCCAGTTGAGCTTAGTCCTCAACTCACTGATATTCAGCTTTCTGAAGACTTGCCAACTTTTCCGCTTGACTCAGAAGATGACCTTAGACAGTGGAATGAAAACTTGAAGAGAAAGGAACTTAAGACAAATCTGGTTAGTAATATGGAATCTCTGTTTCATGCTGTATGGTTTGCAGTTATATATGCATATTTATACATGTGAATGTGCATATAGTTAGTATACAGTATTATGCATGGTCTCCTTCCTGCTTCTCTGACAGCCATTGATTTAGTTAATGAATTAATCCTTTCATCAATATCAGATACAGGTCCTGAGTAGATGTACTGCAGATACACCACATCTTGCCACAAAGAATGGGTCTAGGAAACTGCTGACATTCCATGTGAGGGCTCAGTATTCAAGGACTGGTCGTGCTTCTAGCAAGCCATCCAACTTCATCCATCCAACTTCCCTCTCCTCCATGTCATAATTGGTTGGTGTTGGCAATTTTATTATGAACTTTTTTCTTTACAGTTACTTTGAATTTGACCTGGCTACATCACTATTAGTGATATTTAAGTATTTTTTTTAAAGCAGGTATTGGTTGAAGAGTCTCTAATCTCACTTGTAAAAAAATGTGTCTGTCATTCTTCAAAAAAAATGTAAATGCCTAATACATGGGGGAGAACTGAATTTTGAATTTAAAAATGGAATCCTCTTCAGAAAGCCATATTTCCCAAAGGTAATAACCAATCTGATTGATCTTGGCATGATTTTAGTGGTGAGAGTGAGTAGATTCAGTTTTTATACTGAGATTTTGAAGTAAAGCATAACTTACTTCTATTACATTTCACAATTTTGAAACCTGTGTTTTTCTTGTCTTTTTAATTGATGGATGTTCAATTGAGATTCTTGGTTATTGAAAGTGAAGAATGTCACCCATGCCCCATACCAGTAAAATTGGCTGGGAAATCAGCGGTGGTGATGCTGCATTCCTTTGACGGAAAACCCCTTATCTAAGTTTATCTCAGTAGGTAGGAATCATACTTCATGTCCATTCCTGTTGATGCTATGTTTTGTGGTTTTGCTGTAATCCTTTAGCAGTTAGAGGATCCTCTTATCGATGTATGAATTTCCCTTCTCAGATTCAGTCCTTCAAATGAACAAGATCTTCAAGTCTGAGGACATCTTCAAAGCGCTCTCAGATGAATTCAGATATGCCCCAGGGCACCTAGGTGGAGGGGGATGGCTCCAAGAGTGAGTAACATTTTCTCTATTTTCATGGTATAACATGAATCATTATGTGCATTCTTGCCCTGTGGATGCTGCAAGAATAGGATCCCCTTATGAATAGATATGCTGATAATTAAGAGGCATTCTACAGTCTGCAGCATGAAACAATTGAAAAATATGGAATGGCTCCTCATTCCCTTGTTTTATCTTAAGGTGAATGGTGGCTTCATGTTTATCATTGACATCAATCACTTGTCTTGTCAAAAGTGAACAGTTACCATGTGCTACTATGATTTTTGCAATTTGCTTCTCAGAAATGTACAATTGTTGCTTTGAACCATGTGAATTGTTCTTTTTAACCTTTTCATGTGTAAGTTTTTCCCAGGGCATGATGGCAGCAGCCCATATATATCCAGTTTTACTCCTCAATGTGTTAAATATGAAAACTTAGCATCATCAACCTGATATGTCCATAATGTATATAGAATTTAGAAGAATCTTAAATTGCTTTCTCTCATTCTCTTTGTACAGGAAGAAAGAGGAGAATCCAGATGCCATCCTTCTTTGTCCTCATGGCCCTATTCATCCTTTTAATCATAATATATTCCTAATCATTATTAGCCTTTTCTAAAGAAGGGTTAAGGGCGGATTTTTGAACAGATCACTATCCGATAATGCAGCTTTATTTACCAGATTTATAAAGCATTTTCCCTAAAATAAAGCTGCATTACCGGATTGTGCTCTGTTCAATAATCCACCCTAAAACTTGTTGTCATTTTGAAAAAAAAAAATTGTTTGAATTAGCCCCATATTGAACTTGTCCAATTTCACTTATACATAACTCATGCCAATGGAACAGTAGTTAAAATCTTTTATGTGTTCATAATTCATTGACTTTCTTCTGAAAATATTAGGGCCTTCAACACAATCATTTTTCCCCCTTAATGTATTATGAAGTTGATAGACTTGCAGTGTTTGTGTCATGACACTTAGTGTCATTAAAATATGTGATATAACTGTCACCCTATAAATAATTTTTGTATCTGCCACTGCTTCAGTGTTCATTTGAGAGTTCATATAAGTGACATTCCAATGTTGGCTCAATGTTCAGTTGTAGCACTATTCAAGCACTGGGAATGTATAAAAGTAAAGTTCATGGAGCACTGGTAGCATGTTATAGCACTGCCGGACGAACATTCATCCAGTGTTGAACTCCAGCGTTTATCTGAGTATTACAATAAGCGACATCATAATAGTGATTTAATGTTAGCTGCAATGCTTACCAAATGCTGGGAAGGTTCAAAGTTAACATTCATGCAATGCTGATTGAATGTTTGTGTTTGCTGGGTAGTTGCCTTGCAATTGGAAGGCAACATCCTTCATCAGTTTATTCGACATTGGTTTGACATAATAACGAGAAGCAATGGTAACAGTGAAAGAGGTGAACTGGGGGGACTGCTCTTCCGCAATAATTTCTGTTTGAGGAGAAATCAAGGTGAGTGGTCAAAGGGAAGCTACAGCAATAGTCCATAGGAATTTCATGACTCAATTCCAGGAATGACAATTCAATGCTGAATGTGTTAAGCATGATCATGCAGGGTGAAATTGGTGTTTTCATCATTCATGAGTTAAACAGAGCAAATTCTTTAAACTGATGATGATTCATCATTGAAAATGGATCTGCTTTGTTTATTCACAGCTTGGAACTAGCTCTTATTGCACTTTTGTTGCTATGTTTTCAGTATGAAAGTGAAGGAAGTGAGGGTGATATGCTTTGCACAATTTTGGGCACTCGGAGAAAAGGAGACGAAGTTCACCGATGCCAAACTGGACGAAAGGAAAGCGAGGCTCTTGCATGCAGCTCGATCGGACGTTCATCCCGCTCGCCATTTCCTCTGGGAGTCTGTTCTTAGGTGCGTCGTGGTCCTGTCACTGTTGATGCTGGCTTTTCCTCAGTTACCATTAAACATTTACTATTTCCATGATACTCTAGTTGGATGACACCACTCAATCGCCTCATTCAATTCATTCTCAAATTTGAACTACTGAGATGGTCCTTACAGTGTGCAAAAGGCTAATGATTGAAGCAAATTGAGCCAATAGGACTCACATTCATAATGGATTGCTTATGCATTAATTAACTCATGGATACTGTCCAGAGTGTTTTTTGCAGAAGTCTTAAACTCATCTCATGGAGCAATGAAACCCCATATTGTATAACTCAGGATCTCGTTCTCTCTTGCGCCAAACATCAGTTCAATCTCTAAATGCAAGTTCATCAGTTTTAGCATGTATTTTTCCCCTTCCTGGATCAAAGGTCGAGCCACCTCGTCGTGCAAAGTTCCCTCCGCCGTCGCGTGATGGGTCCCCGGCTTGGGATGCATGAAGGGCGTCGAGTTCATCCGTGATGGGTCTGTGGCCCTCAGCAGCTTCTCAGTGTTCAAGACATGGGAACTGGACTTCATCAACACATCTCACTTTCTCCATGTAACCTATTTCTTGAAAGCGTTTTCCATCAACTTTTCTATGGATGCATTTAATTTGCTCGATTTGGACCAAACTCTCCTGTCGTTTATGAGCAATGCAATACAGTTACAGGATACTTGAATGCACTTGCAGGGGATTCCTCTCAAGGCAGTCTAGGCATTCTAGGTGAATGCTCTACCTGCAGTCATTCATTGCCTAAAGTCAATCCTCAGCAAAACCAATAAATTTTCCCATATATGCTATATTTTCCCATTATTTCTGGTGCTATGCTAGGCCTAAGTTGCAAAAAGTGGACTGGAACTATTCTTAAATATCCTTTGGCCTAATGACTGGCTTTAACTTTGATTTCAATGACACTATATTGGTCATATGTAAACTATAAGATAATGTGGTCAGTGTTTATTTACTTGCACACCCAATGAACATAAGTTCACGGCTTCTATGCATGAGCAAAACCATAGTGTGTGATTACTGGTCTGACTAGAAAGCATCTTCATTAAACTCTTTTTGTTAGATCTATTCCTCTGAAATTAAATTTCATTTTTTAACATTTGATTCAATAATGTTGTTTTGCTCAAAAATTGGATTTTTAAAAGAAAGGAAAATTAATTCAACTTTTAAGCAGTCCTTGCAATCCACAGGATGCCAGCTACAGCCAGCATGGCAAACAATGAGGGCCCAAACCAGCCTCAAATTACTTTTTTCATGACCTTTGAAGGAGTATTCCCCATTTGGCACCCCATTGCACAGTATGTGAGAATAGGTAGCTCTTTCAGCCCTCCAGTTATTTTCAGATGATTGCAGATCATTGTCCTTTGCCGTAAATTGTGGAAGAAACTAGAATGTGGAGTGCATTCACTATGTTATGGTGGATTTTTGGATGAACCAGTTTGGATTTTAGGGGCTTGAAGCATCAATGTTTCCCAATGAATGAAAATGACTCCATATTGGGCCAGATAATCCAGTTGTTCCGCAACACATCTACCCTTGTGTTGAAAAAAAGTATGATGATTATCTCACAGTCCTTTGTGAACTCTCCTATGGAAAGTAGGACAGGTTCATGGATGGGAGTTACATGCACGCAAAATCATTTCCATGGGTGACCTTTGCCTGTGAGAACATTCCATGAAATTAGAGTAAACTCTCATCATCTGAAGTCCTTGTATAGACAATGGTCATTTGTGATGAGGGTCTCACAAGCTGGAAGATCTCATGTTAGCCTATTTGCATGTGTAAGCCTGCCCACTGGGTGGGAGAAATACATCTGCCAGTAGGTATCGTATGTCTGTTGGAGTCATGGTGCATATCTGTTGGAATTACTGCTACTTGTCCTGATGTACTTTGGACTTCTCTTTCTGCTTTGGGCCCTGTCTTGGACTCACTCTCTAATAACATGCTGCTAGTTCTCTGGCTTTCCACTCCTATTTATGTCTTCTTCATCTGCTCTTTCCATTCCTTTCTTCTTCTTTCTTTCATCTCTCATGTCTTCTCCCCCTTTCCTCATCTTCTATGACACAGGGTGATCATGCTGACAGTCAAAGCTTATTAGGGAAAGATGCCCATTGAAGTTTGCTGCTTACATCTTGTCTACTAGTGCCATTTGGAGGTTTCATTCTGCTAGCCTAACAAATTAGTATGGTGGACTTCAAACTTGCCTGTGCAAGGCTCTAGTGTTTGTAGCCTGCCATGGGAAGTGGCTGGGTTGCTGTGGAGAGCTGCAATGGCTTGGCTATTGCAGGAATTAACCAACTGCACTTGCTCAGATGCCAATTTATTTTTTCAGGATCAAAGTTTCATGTAGATCAGATTTTGAAATGAGAAACAGTATCTATGTTATTGACTGAAGGCGTCCATGCATTTCACTATGCAAACCATGACCAGTGAACAGGCCTTAACAGCTGTAGGTGAATGTTATGACTTGTAGCATTGATTCTGTGTCTCCACGTCACCCATGTTCGCAGGATTAGAGTGAGATCCTTATAATGAAGTGCCAGGCAACCATGGGAGTGACTTTTCTCAAGTTGGAGTTTGTTGTAATGAAGGTGTCTCATTCCCTTAGTGCTGTATTTTTTCACTTATTTACACTGTCTTCATGCAGGTTGTTCATATTATTGTTTCCAGCTTCTTGTGCTAGTGCAATATGAAATTCCTGCCACAGCCTGAGCTCCTCTCCAGCTGTTCACTAGATATGCCACTTTTCTAGGTTGAAATTAGGGATGGGACCAGTATGGTATTGTTACATCTGCTATCAGCCAACAATTATGTCGACCAAATGGGAAATAGGTGGGTAACAATAATTGATGGTCATTTTTCAATAATGTCTGAGCAACGAGTTTTTGCTGAGTGAAGGCAGAAACTGGAGAAGAGGCTCAATGGCCTTGTTCTCGGAGTACCTTCCCCTCTGCCTTGTGTATTCATTCTGTGGAGTGTGTGTCTCTCTGGATGACACTTAATGTTCAAGATAGATGCAAATGTATTCTGGTGAAACAGGGGTGGGGGGGTCAGGATTTCTTCTGTTTTACCTTCCATCTGGAGAATGCTGTCACCTGCATTCTCCCTTGCCTCAAATTTGCCTCCTATGACACTTGGCAATTGTTCTCCTGTTTTAATTGGTCTACTTCCTAACAGGAAAGAGACCACTTATAGTCTGTTCGTATCCATGTCAGGAGTCAGGAGAGTTAGTGATATCAAGAGGCGATTTCGCCCATTTCGATATCACGTGTCGAGGTCGAGCGTTCCTTAATTTTAGGGTAGGCCTAACCCTCTTAAAGCTATATATATATATAT